ACACTGGGCGTGGATGGTCGTGGTTGAGGTCCGGCAGGGAACACTGGGTGAGGATGGTCGTGGTTGAGGTCCGGCAGGGAACATTGGGCGTGGGTTGAGGTCCGGCAGAGAACACTGTGGATCGCGGGTCGCAGTTGAGCAAGGACGACGAGGACGACGAGGACGACGAGGAGGACGAGGAGAGGAGGACGAGGCAGGAGGAGGCGGAGGAGGAGGAGGAGGCAACTGACATAAAATCTAACAACCCTCACCTGGCAGGTGGGGAAAAAATGAATGTCACCTGAAACATGTTTGGCTCAAGGTTGTTATTTCTAGATTTCAAAAGGGTGCCATGGGGAAGGCCATGAAATCAAAGCCCTTGCAAAAAGGGCCAAAAGCAAAAGCAAAAGCTAAGAGTTCTTGCAAAAAGAACAAAACTGGTGGCAAAAAGGCAATGAAAACACTTACATCAGCAAATTTGAGGAGGCTTGAAAAAAGCCAAGGGCAAATGTCTCTTCAAGACAAGCTGAAAAAAGCAGGTGAGGAAGACACAGTGGAAGGAGCAAAGGCACTCCTGCAGAAGCTCATGACCAAGGATGAAAAAACAAAACTTTGGTCCAAACACCAGACCTACTTGAAGGGCAACCAAGATGAAAAGAGCACATATGATGAAGCAAGCAAAAAGGAAAAAACTGACATGACAATGATATGGCTCTTGAAAAAAGAGCATCCAAAGTACTACCAGGTGTCCAAGGAGATGGAAGGATCCACCAAGGCAAAGAGGAGTGAGCAGTGGGTCAGTGAGATGGTGATGCTCACAAGATGGCCTTGGGAGGAATTACAGATGCATTTAGCATCTGGGAGGATTGTAGCAAGGGAGTGTGCCTCTACCTGGGGGGTCTATGAGTATTGTGACATGCAGGATTGGGTCACAGTCCAGGCTGCACAATCAAAAAACCGAGCCAGAATTGCACAAGAGTATGTTCCAAACTCTGATGATGAGATGCTGCTGGACTCATGCATGCAAGGCAACATGAAAGCTAATGCCGGCAGGCTCTTGGCTCAGAGTTCTGGCAGCAAAGGGCTTGGAAAAAGCTCAAGCAAAGGGAAAGGGAAAGGCAAAGGAAAGGGAAAAGGGAAAGGAAATAGTCAGCTAGCCTTGCAGGATAGGGAAGAAAAGCAAACAGAAGATGAAGAAGAGGATGAAGACAAAACAGAAGAAGAGCAGCTGAAGGATGCTTACAAGAAAGCAAAGAAGGCCAGGGACATGGCAACAGCAGTCTGTGCAGACTTTGAGGATTGCTTGGCAAAAGCAAACCCCTACTTGAGCAAGGCATCAAAGCAAAATGGCTTGAAGGACCAGCAGCTCTTGGCTGCCATGGGCAACAAACTGAAGGAAGCTGTCAGCAAAGAAAATGTAACCCTGAAAAAGTTAAAGTCTATGCTTCAAGAAACTGCCAACAAAGTCAAGGAGGTAAAGGACACAATGAAAGAGTTGAAGCAATTGGCCAACAAGGCTGGCAGCATTGCTTCCAAGGCAGCCAGTGCCAAGTCCAAAAAGTAAACCTTTGGAAAAAAGGTTGCTGCAGAAAAAGGAAGTTGGGAAAAAAAGTTCTCCACAAAAGACCTTTGGAAAAAAGGTAGTCCCACAAGAGACCTTTGGAAAAAAGGTAGACCCACAAGAGACCTTTGGAAAAAAGGTACCCCAAGAGAAGCCTTTGGAAAAAAGGTAAGCCAAACATGTACAGCACTTGAGCACAAGGTGAGGTGGGAAACAATTTTGAGAAACAAGTTCCAAACATCCTTTGGGAAAAAGGGCCACTGGGTAGCATGCATTGGAAAAAGACATTTTTTGATGGGAGCCCCCTCACAAGAGGGAACCTTTGCAAGAAAGGTGGTTCCCTTTCATTTTTTCATGGCTGGACACCAGACTTTTGTCCATTCACCAAGCAAAAAGGAGCTTCACCAGGGGGGTTGGCAAGGGGGCATGATACCATTTGAGTCTTGTCTTGTAGGTTTGTTATAAATGTGTGTACCTGTTTTTTTTTGGCATGCTTGTTTGTAATACTGTTAGCACTTAGCACCTGCCCCCCTGTTGCATAAGGTCTCAGTCAAGGATGCTTGTTGGCAGCCAGCTGTTGCTCAAGAGAGTAGCTGGCAGATACCATTTAGTTTCTGGGAAAGAGAGCCCTTGGAAAAAGGGCTGCAGACAAGGGGGCAAAAGCAAGTCTTTGAAAGGAGCCTTTGGGAAAAAGGCTTTGGCAAAAAGGCTTTGGCTTTGGAGCAAAGATTCCAGGAGAACCTTTGGAAAAAAGGTGGCAAGAAATTCTTTGGAAAAAAGAAACCCTTGAACAATGACAAAAAGATTAAGGGGATGGAAAAAGGATGTGGAGCTAGGCCTTGCAGAAAGGCCAGATGCAGAGGCAGAACATCCAAGCCCCTTTGCCACCAAGCTGCTGAGCCACTGGGCCCATGGTACTTTGAGTGCCAAAGCCATACAAGAATTGGCACATTTGGCACAGCTTGGTGGAACCAGCCATGCAGAAGTGGCAGCCCTTGCAAAAAGTGGCAATTATGGTGAAAACCCAGGGAACATTCACAAGGCAATCATGCAAACCTTTTTGCCTAATGTTTCCATCCCAGCTGGGTTTGATGTGGAGGTGCCCTGTTTGGATCCCAAAACCAGCCAAGCTTCAACCTCCACAGCATCCATCTTTCTCCCCCACACAATGTTCTCAGCTCTCTATGAGCACTATCCAACCAAATGGGCAGAGCTGTTTTGCCCACCAAAGCTAGAAGAGTTTTGGACGGGGGTTGAAAGCAAGAAGGATGATAGATTGAAGGGGCACAATTTGAAAAAAAAGGGAGAATTGGAGGACCCAAACAATACCCATCTTTGTGCATGGGGATGGTGCTGAATTTATGACAAGGGATTTTCTCATGATATATTCCTTTGGGTGTGTCCTCAATCTCTTTGGGAGTCTTGACTCTCACCTTTTGATGGGTGTCTTCCCAAAGGTGGCCACCACAAAGGACACCTGGCCAGCTTTGTGGAAATGGTTCAGCTGGAGTTTCCATGCCTTGCAAAAAGGCTTCCACCCTTCCAGGGATCCAGATGGAAAACCCTTGGAAAAAGGGTCGCCTTTCTATCCACACAAAGGAAAGGCTTTGGCATCTTCTTTCACAGCAGCCATCTGGACCACCATTGGTGATCAGGAATTCTTCTCCTTGCAGCTGGGCTTGCCTCACTGGGCATCAAAGAATCCATGCCACCAATGCAACTGCACCAGCAAGAGTGGAGACCTTCCATATTCTTGGTTGGATCCAGATGTGTTCACCTATGTGAACACAAAGGTGGCCAAGGCCAACCCCAGCTCTACCCATCCAATCTTCAGCATTGATGGGGTCACCAGCAGGATGGTGAGGGGGGATGGCTTACATATCCTTTTCACAAAGGGATTGTATGCCCATCTGTTGGGAAGCTGCCTGCACTACATGTGCTGGTTTGACCCAATCACTGGACACCAAGTGGTCAAACCACAGGAGCGCCTTGCTGTCATCTTTACTGAAGTGCAGAAATTCTACAAAGTGCAAGGGGCTGGAACAGTGCTCACCAACCTCAAGCTCAGCATGTTTACCAATGAAAAGTCCCCACACCAGTCCCATGCATTCCTAGATGCAAAAGGGGGCGAATGCAAATGGTTGGCACCAGCCCTGCTGGAGGTGATGAAAAAAATGCTTGGTCCAGAAAGGGATCACCATGCCCATATGATACAATGTGTCGAGATCATGGTGCAGCTGGTCTTCTTGTGGGATTCAGCAGACACCTTCCTCACTGAAGCAGAAGAAGAACTCACAATGAGTTTGTGCAACTCCTTCCTGCAGGAATACACCTACTTGAACCATTGGGCAGAAACATCTGGCAGAAAGCTTTTCCACATTGTCTTCAAGCACCACACCTTCATCCATCTTTGCCTTGGAGCTGCAGAAATGAATCCCAGATTCCATTGGTGCTTTAAGTCAGAAGACTTTGTGGGGGCTATAGCCAGGCTTGCACACTCTTGCACCTCTGGAGTGGCAAGCACCAGGCTCAGCACCAAAGTTCTCCCCAAGTATGCAATTCTACTCCATTTGTTGCTTACAAGAGAAGGCTTCAGCATGGAAGGTTAGCCTTTGGAAAAAAGGTCGCAAAAACCTTTGAAAAAAAGGTTCCATGGAAACCTTTGGAAAAAAGGTTGACCTGTGGCCTAAGGAAATCTTTGGAAAAAAGTAGTTCACAAGGAAGCCTTTGGAAAAAAGGTAGCTCACATATGGAGACCTTTGGAAAAAAGGCAGCACAAAAGAGAAAAAGGTGCCTTTGCAAAAAAGGCTTGAACTTCGAGCAGGATTCACCCACTCATGGTTTAAAAAGTGCTTGGCAGCTGAGAGTGGATGGCCTGGGAAAAGTACCCTAAAAGTAGAGGTTTGGGGCCAAAAAAAAGTCAAAAAATGCTGATTTTGGATATTGATTTTTGTCTTCAAAAACCTAGAAAAAATATTGATTTTTGAGGTTGAGAAATATTGATTTTAATATTGATTTCCCTTTGAAATCAATATCACAAAACTGATATTGATTGAAATCAATATCGGATGCTCAGGGATATATACTTTCGGGCAGCTCTTGCATTGTAATCGTAACGTTCTTCCCTAAATACTTCGTATTGTTGAGGTCGTGAATCGATCTGATGAACGTATACTTCATGCATTGCCCATTATCACGAACCAAAACCAGATTGATTAGACTGTCCGCAAAGATGTTCAACTCATTCTTGTTCTCATTCTCATCGACCACCATTCGATATGCGTGAGGAATAAATATCTTGTTGGGAGAAATGATGTTCAGACCCATGGTGTTGACACAAGCCATCAGATTATCATCCATAATGCAACTCGCAACCGGAAGAACCTCCTGATGTCTCAAAACACGAAAGATAGACTTTCCAGTCCAGAACTCATTTCGATTGTTTGACCTTTCTCCATTGTTACCTGGGAGACGCCAATTGCTTTTGTCCACCCTCACATTCGACTGGAACTTCAATTGAGTTTCTCTCCAATCTTGAATCAAACGATGATCACATGGAGAGTCACCACAATCACTTGGAACGAACATCTCTCTTCTTGGTATATTGTGGATCCTTTCCAAAACATGGTCCCCTATCCACTTCCATTCGTCACGAACAGGTACTTCATCTTGACCACATTCTGTTGCTGATGCTATCTTCTTGGTATTTCTTCTCCGTATAGGCGGCTTTTGTAACTTCAACATTTCTGAAAACGCTTTGTTGAACTGTTGTTGATCTTTGAATTGTTTCGAATCCTCCATGCCTCTCCCCCCATGAACAAGGCGTACCAGGGCATTGATCACCCTAATTGTCATAGGATTCCCTTCATATAACGAAAACGGAATCTTCTGAGGACGTTGAGCTTGTTCAAAGAGTATTGGCTCGGATTGCTCAGTTCCGACGTCGGCGTACGTTGGAACCGAGAGCTGGCCGCTGTGGATACACATACGGAGCGGAAGTGGGGTGGTGGTATTGGAAGCATGCCCGTTCTATCCATTTGTCAAAACGTGATTGTTGTAACAAAGGTGGAACACGATCCTCAACTTGCTCCCACTTCCCGTGGACTAAGATCCAGGTGCTCCGAAGGCAATCTGCAGGAAGCTTGACACCAGCTGGTCTTGTTCTGAACAACGTAGGGGTTTTGACCACAAAGATTGGATCCATACCAGGTAGTTCTTGAAGCTTTTCTCGACTTGAAAGACCCTTACGATACACCTCAGGTGGCAGTATGGGTGTTTCAGTATACGGAAAATTGGGAACGTCATCTGTCCTTGACTGAAAAACTTGACGAACTGTAGTGTCAACATCCGTAGTGGGCTGCACTAAGTCGGCCAATTGCTTCGAACCAAGGTCTTCGGGCTCCAAAAGATTGATCAACATACAAGCCTTTTTCCAGGCTAGGGGGTTTGTAAAACCTTTGGTGTGGATGTCCGCGGCCATCTTCGCTGTGATCTCGTACATGAGAACAAAGTGATCTTTGCTGAAATGCTCATGTAATGACGTAATAGAAATTCCATGAATTCTTTCCAGATGCCGCATTGTTGGATTCCTTCCAGAACGAACCACACCAATCATCCCTTGATTGTCATCATGAAACAATAGCTTGGGAGATGATTCTGTAAGCGTTTCCCAAATACTGAGTGCAGGAAGACCCATTGTTCGAAGGGTTACATCAGCGGCTACGATCTCAGCTTCAGGCGTAGAATGGCTCACACACCCCTGGCGTTTGTTCCCACCAGCTAACGGAAACCGAGTACGTTTCCCCTGAATAGGCATATGAGAACCTGATGTGGACCTCAATGATTGTGCACATCCCGCAAAGTCAGCATCTGCATACAACGCAATGGATAGATCTTTCATGTCGTTACCGACCCATCCAATCATTCTCTTCCCTAATCAGATGGTATAGTTTGGCATCATCTTGAATGGACCATTTTGTCACATTGCGTGCTAATGTATTGATTGATCTCAACAAATCAAATCGGGCGATCCTTGCTGCATACAAGAGCTTCATCAAGATGCTAGCAGCATGAGGGGCAAGTGCACCTCGTTGGACTTCAACAGATTCCGGCCGAGAATCGGAGGCATCGGGCTGTAAGGCAACCGACGATCCAGGATCGAATTTTGTAGAACACCAGGGACATTGAACTGCATGCTTAGGATCCCCAGGTGCTGGTGCTCGAGACTTATGTTGTTTGGTCTCTTCGGGGAGACTAGGTGTTGAGACTTGTTTTAACTTTGTATCTCTCCCCACAAGTTCAAGATACCTTTCAACGGAGAGCTTTAAAAGACCCTCCATATTGTAGGTCATGGTTGTGACCTCTGTGCCATCATGCAGGCGATTGGTTCCTTTGCTTAGCAAACAACCATGATAGAGACCCAAATCTGTCTCTGGTTCAATTCGTAGCTTTGACCTTAACATCTCCCATCCCTTGGTGAGATTCTGTGCTGGCCCAGCTAACTTCAGATCATCAACATAGATGACTAACAAAAGTTTGAGTTCCTTATGGAAATACATTGATGGTCATTCCTCCCCTACTGGCATAAAACCAACTTCACGGACATGTTTGTCACAATGTTGTTTCCACATCGTGCCCGCATCAGGATGACCATAAAGTGCTTTGACAAGTCGCACTACCGGTCTTCTGAACTTCCGGATGTCGATGTTGTCCGGCCATACATCTCCAGGGAGCTCGACCCAACAAGGAGGTCCCGTAAGCCTCGCTTGGATATACGCCTGGATGGCGTCTGCCAGCTTCACGTTGTGACCGGGGATGCAACCATAGAAATCTGCCCATCGGGAGGCTTCAAACGTCGCTGGAGAGTTGCCGAGGTCCTGAAAGAACGCGGCTTCCCAGTGTTGATTCTTCACTTGGTTTCCAAGTAGAACGCCTCGACCTTTGAACTTGCGTCCAGGGCTCCCCTTCGGTAGCTGATAGTTCTTCTCGACACAAATGCCGTGAACTCGTGCCATATGAACTTCTTTTCCTTCTCGTTTCGCTTCTGCCACAACATCATCGTATTCACGAACAACTGAGAAATCATAGACTCCCTGCTTATGCTGTCCCAACCACTCATTCCTCATAGAAGCCTTGGCGTCCGGGTCTTCCATCATCTCTTTACGACCAACTGGCCGAGAGACCATCGCGTTGAACAACTTTCCAAACTTCACATCACCTTGACCGAACTTCTCGCGATGCTCAAGATCTTGATGAACACAAGGCATACAAGGAATCGAACTCACGAAGTGGTCGACCTTAGACTTGCCGTCGGAGTCTTTTGAGGCAGGAGCCGTTGGTGCAGCTTTAGCAGGTGCTATGATCTTCCCAGTGTTGAAGTCATAATGAACATCTTCCCAGTGAGCTCTCAGTCCTTTTCCAACTTCATGCTCGGACCATTCGTCCCATTCGTTCAGAAATTCTTGACCATCATCATCACTTGGGACGCTTGTGCTGGTCTGGCTGGGAGTCGCAGGAGAGGCAGTGTTGCGCTTCTTGATGTTGATGAGATCACTAGCTCCACGGATTGTTGATAAACATTCCCGTGTGCTGTGACCTCTGTTGTGGTTCAGCGTCGTCATCGGATCATGGGGCGTAGGTATACGTTCCCAATCTCCTCGGAGCTTCCCCACTCCGACAGAAGCGTCCTTGCTGCCATCTTTGCCTGAGCTCTCCTTCGAGTCTTTATTGCTCTTTTTCTTTTTCTTTCGTCCTTCATCTTTGGGTGGATCTTTGTGTGAACTCGCTTCGGACTTCTTCTTCCTCTCAGCAGCCTCAGCTTTGGCTTTCTTCTCTTTCTCTTTCTTCAACTTGATCTCCTTGAGCTTATCAGCTTCTTCTTCGAGTTTTCCACGACGAATGATGACGTCTCTCTCCTTGGCGGATAATGATCTCCATTCTTCAGGACTGTAGCTGCTCTTTGGTCTTGGTGATCCTCGTACTTCTTTGCGACCGTCTGGACCAACTCGATAAGGTCGCCCACGTTTGTCGAGTTTGACATGCTCGCCAATGTCGCTGAGGTAGATGATACCGTCACCAGGTTTACCCATAGAGTGATGTTCAGGTCCGTCATACGGAGGCTCACCGTCTGGAGGAGGCATAGGAGGCCCATCAACAACTTCGACTCCGTCGCTTTTCTCTTTGTCCAGTTTGATGTCCATTTCCTCCATCATGCGATTGAACTCTTCTTCTTGATGTTCAACACGGTTGGTGATCTTTCCTTTCTTAGGTTTATCGTCACCTCCATCTCCGTCATCATCGTCTTCGTTATCATCATCATCTTGATGATCTTCAAGGAAATCTGGTGATCCTTCAAGGCGATCTTTCACAGCCAACCCTTCCAATGTGGTGTTCACCTTCTCATAGATGTCTTTGCACGGGAACGTCAATGGCAAGTATACTTCAATCTTCTCCGTAAGGTGAGGATGGCGTAGCTTGTCAATGATGGTCTTGGCATTGAACGAATAGTTCTGCCTCGTCATATCAGACAATGCCCATGCCATATATTGCCTTCGCCAATTGACGCCCGGGGCAATCTCATAACCAGCAAAGACACCAGGGATGCCCTTGGGGTCGAACTTGTGAGCCTGTTCATTAGCTCTAGCTCCACTCGGCTTGAAGTAAACCAAAGCACCAAATGGGATCTTCTCGCCCTTGAACTCGGCGCCATGGAGCTTGCACCATGCACTCACATCATCTTCTCCGGGTTCCACGTTGAGTGGGTGACATACACATCGTATGGCAAACTTCCAGAAACATGCTGGTAGTCCAGCCTCGAGTAGGCATGTAGTAGTTGTTGTAATGACGAACTGGTTGTTGCGCTCGGCAAGGGAGTTCGTTGATGGTCTTCCCGGCAGAGCATGGTCAAAGGGTATCTTGAGCGCTTCCATGCCCTTGACAAACTGTCTGGCCTTGTCAGAGTAGGCCTCTCTGATAGTACGTCTTCCCATGAAGTACTTCACCGCTCTCACAACATCTTCAGTGTTCTTTGTTGGAGAGGGGTAACTCTGAATGATGCCGGTAAACCTGTCTCGGATGACAAGAATCTCCTTGACCGTGTCATAGCCCAACTTGGTCGTCTTGCGAGTATCCATGAAGTCGAAGGTGATGAGGTCGCCGAACTTTGTGAGCTTTCGACGAAACGCACCTCGATAAGTTTTGTGGTGCTTCATCTTGGCCCGCACACATGAGTTGCAGTATGGGTTCTTGTATCGATGTGTCAACAAGTGTTCAAGGTACGAGCTTCATGTTTCAAGGTACCTCTCTTTGACAATCGTACTCCTCCATCAGGATCATCGACATCGATATCATCCTCATCATCTTCTTCTTGTGGTCCATGCTCAACACCAATTTCATCTTCATCAGGTTGATCATCTTCTGGAACATCATCAGCAGCTGGTAATCGATCATCATCGTCATCGCCATCTTCATCCACACCGGGGATATCATCCACATGAACATCATCCCCATCTGGATTCTCCTCACGGATGGATGGCTCATAACCATCATCTTCATCAAGTTCTTCACCAGCTGCTGCAGGAACTGTCTTTTGTCTAGATCGTTTCTTCTTCTTTGTCTTCCTCAGGGACTTTGTTGGCCCGTCGACGTACGTACCAACTCCGTCATCTGATTCAGACATTTCATCACCACTCTCACCATCAAGGTATATCGTCCTCGATGCTGTATTGTTGCCCATGAGACCCAGCACCTTCATCACCAACTCAGCCTCATGGTCAGGCATTGGCCGATAGTCTTTGGCCCCAAGGTAGACATACGGGATGAGATCGTGAACTTCCATCCTGATCTTGTCACCTTCGGAGTTGATCATGTAGGGTTCTCTCCCATTAGGCCAAACAAAGGTGTAACCTTGTTCCATGCATCGTTTTCCCAATGATAGAACTGATGGAGTATCCTCTAACACATGAGCTTTAGCAGGTTCATTGAATGTGTCAAAGTCCAAGTCCACCATAGTAGATGTGGATGTGATGCCATTCGCAGTGTGGAAGTTAACTCTGTCACTCTGGTAAGTGTCAATGTCCATTCGATCAACTCTTGTAGACGAGATGAGGTCATGACCGCTACCAGAATCCACAATGAAGCGTCTGTCCTTGAGCTCGATCGGCATGGTGATGCACATGATGTTGTCACGACGACCATACTTTCCTGGTACATGAGGGATAGTCTCCTCATAGCGTGTCTCAGCTCGGGGGTTGTTCTCTAGATACTCATTGGTGTTGATCTTGAGCTTGATATTGTTCTTCGGTCCCAGGATAACATGTACTTCGTCGACATCTGAAAACTCATCATAGTCATCTATCAGTATGCCAATCGCACGTGCTCTTGTCATGCCCAATTTGGATTGCAACATCCATTGTTGGTCATCCATAATTTCTTTGGTAGTTCTGCACGTCAATGATCGCTTCTGAGCTCGAGACAGGTTCCTTCTTGGCTTTCTGTTGGAGCATTCCACAAAGTCAGGCTTCACGTGCTCATGTATCTCCACATGATAGTTGAACTTGACATCCATCTTGTTCTTCTTCTCGCTTGGCACAGCGTTCACGATGAAGTCATCATCGTACTCACGGACCAATGCAGGAGTGGCCTTGGCATCGGATGTCTTCGTCGAAGGGGCAGCTCTCTTGCCTTTCATACTTGGATCATGCTTGAAAGTACATTTGTCTCCCTTCTGACAATCACCCTTCAACCATCCATAGCAGTTGCGGTCCTTCTTTCCACCAGGTGTCTGTGATTTTCTTGGTGTGGCCGATCTACCGTTCTTGCCCTTACCACCCTTGTCCTTCCTTTTGTCCCAATGATATTGAGAATGACTGTATTGGCACTTGTCACCATGCTTGCAATTTCCTTTGTTGAAGTGAAAGTGACAAAAGGTCTTGGAAGTGTCTTTGGTAGAAGGCGATCTAGATCTTCGACCACCCTTGCCTTTCCCCTTGCCGTGACTCTTTGGAGTGCCGGATGGGAGAACGGGGGCTCCAGGCTTACCCTTAGGTGCTGGCGCACTTGGCTTTCCGGTCTTACCATCCTTTGGTGTGGGTGTTGGAGCCGCAGGCTTTGGTGCAGGGGTAGTTGGCTTACCAAGATTGGTGTAGTCTGTGGCAAACTTGTCTCTGGCTGCAATGTTTCTATCCTCACGTACACGTGCAATGTGTCTCTTCATGATCTCCAACAACTCTTTGTAGGACTTCTTCTCATCATCATTCCCAGACCCTCAAAGCGATCCATTTTTTGGATGTCTTTTTTTGCGATCCAAAAAATGGATGTCAGCGATCCATTTTTTGTCAGTCATTTTCAAGTTCAAAAACCGCATGGAAGGGACACAAATGGTTGTGCTAGATCCTGAATTCATGTTTTCAACCCGACAGATAAGACTTCTTGAACGTCTACTTTGTGGGATGTTGTTTTGGTATATACTCTTTCCGCTCTATGCGGGTCAAAAGTCATGGCACACGTACCTGACTTCTGGCTAGCTAAACCTCCCGGGCCATGGGGTGGCAAATTCCCACTTGGGTTGGTTCACCCAAAAAAAAAACCACAAGTCCCCAAAATACAGTGTTTTCCCTGCACTTTTCGAAAAAACATGGGACTTGTGTGTTTTTTTTTTGGCGGACCAATCCAAATGGGAAATTAACACCACGGGGGTAAATTGGGAAAACTCTTTTGGCTTCCCCTCGGGGATGCGACGCTTTAAATCTCAATTTGACATCATGTTTGGCAAAAACATGAAATCTCTAAAATCAATTGAAAATGACCAGCCAGGAATCATCCGTCCCATCAGATTAGACGCAGGATCTTTCAAAAATATAAATTACACGTCCAGGGATGAATATCGAGGGCAACAAGCAAACAATCTCCGACCATGGGCCCCAGAGGTTGCAAGAAACATTTACCAAGGAATATATTATATGCCGTCGATTCATTTTCTAATTGCTTCAAAGTCACGTATCTACCATATAATATCATATAATATATAGTTGTTTTTGCTTGACACCCTGCACCACCGCGCAACTTGGAAGCGGCTTGCACCCAATTGCTATGTGGAAAATGCTGAGTTTGTATTCTTACACTTTTTGGTTCATGTTGGGTTCGCCCGGGAAAAAATGATTAAAACCGATGCTGCCTTACGTGCGTTCATCGTGTTTTTGCGGGGTTTGCCAGCTCTGAGGCTGGGCCACGCATTCTGGGGGCAAAACGCGTTTGTCGGTATGTTTGCATAGCTTGAGTTCCGCACGCTTGGGATGTTTCTTAGAACCAAACATTAAACAGCATGTTAGCCTTCCATGTCTATCCTTTTCGTACGCATGCATCTAGACTATCTAGATTGTAATTGTATCCGCCTACGATTGGATGCTGGGAACCCTATAGCACCAATGACTTCATTTTCAGACCCATGACATCCCATGACCAGTCAAAACTTTCAGGACATATGCTGCCATAAAAAAAACACACCAAAACAACCCCAAAAAAATGTTTGCTTTTGGCTGCCCAAAAGCGGTTTGATTTTTGCAAAAAAAACTTCATCAACGTTGATTTGGTTTAGACATATTAAAACCTGTAGGATACAGTTTGTAACATGCATACTCCCGCGTATCTTAAGACAATGAGGCACAGGTGCTCGGCAAAACATGGTTCTGCGCATGTCAGCAACGGTTTTTATCTTTTTATCATGTGTTTTTTTCTTTGCGTCGCTGCGATTGACTAGGCAAAAAGTTGGGTTAAATTAAAATCAATTCATATTTGCAAGTTTGGTGGGAAGTCGAAGACCCGAATGTCACACACTAAATTCAAAATAAATATTCAAAGTGAAAAACTCACATATTCCCATGACCGTTTTGGTTCATTTTGCATTTGTGGACATAAATATTCCAGCTAGGTTTGACCCTAGACTTGAAAGATGCGGGCATTCACACCCGGCTTACAGGTCAAAAGTGGGGGGGTTTGGCTGCCAGTCTCAAGGTGTTGAAACCCAAAGGGGAGGGTTCCATGGGAGCGTTGCTGTTTTTTCCTGGTATGTTTTTGTTTAACAGGCTACAACTGTTTTTTTGCAAAATCTTCCTTGTCCCATCTTGTCCCAAATGGGCCATGCGCTAAGATTGCATCTCGCAATTCCCCTTTGAAGTCAGATTTGTTTGTTTCAGTGCCCAATTGCGATCATGTACGACCCTTGAGGTTCTCTGAACTTTCGGGCATATTTATTTTCTAAAATCTACATGCGACTTGAGAAGGATTTCGGAGACCGCGTCCAAAAGATATCTAGTAGTTGTGAATATTTTTTAAACAATGACCACTTGGGAGCCATTCACGCAAAAAAGAAACAGCGATTGATTGTAAAGTATAGGTTTGTTTGCGCTGCATGTTGCTCACATTGCCTGGATATTTCTCGACTCGATGAATTAGGCAGCGCAGAGAAGCCAACCACAAAGGATGAATAATTGCGTTCAAAAATATGGGGGATGATCTCACAAAGGGAGCATTGGTGATCTGTGGAGGTATGGGCTCATTCATAGCGAACTTTGCAATAACTAGAACAGGCGCTAGGCATGTGGAATGGCTGCCTCAAACAATTCAACTAGATTGGGAATGCTGTAGCCTTTAAGAGTCCAAAACAAATGCAACTCAGAAATCTCAACACACGCTTTTGTGGATTCCACGACTGCAGACAAGGCAATCTGCCAGTTGAAAAAGGAAGAGCACTGCAAGACACCAATCCCCCACCAAACATGACTAATCCCCGTGAAATCAAGCACGTTTGGTAGAATATGGGGCGATGAGCCACCGATGAGCCTATGGCAGCATAAAGCGATGAGCCCCCGATGAGCCCCATGTTATGGTACCAGTCCGTAATCTAAATAAGAAAGGAAACTAGCGATGAGCCCCCCGATGAGCTTGGAAATTTGACGCGATGAGCCCCCGATGAGCCTGCAGCGATGAGCCCCCGATGAGCATTCCATTTTTGGGCCAGCCCGCAATTTGAATAAGAAAGGAAATTGACGATGAGCCCCCCGATGAGCTTGAAATTCAGAGCGATGAGCCCCCGATGAGCATCCGAGTGAATTTTGGGTAACACAAAAAATGCATTTTTAATAACGAAAAGCATCTTTTCGAACGCATTTTTGGCTACCGTTGGACGCATAGCAACATTAGTTGGCCAAAACCAGCGACGCATTTTTTCTTATAACATTATCTATGCAGATTATTCCAAAACATATTTAATTTACAGTTGTGAGATCCGACCCAGAACTTTGGACACATTTCATGGAAGACGCCCCCATTCAGCCAGCCCCGGCTTTGACAAACGCGTGCATTCCTTTTTTAATTCCCCAACAAACCCTTCGCCACCCCTGCTAAATTGACGACGCCCTTAGGTCAGCCACTAACAATACCCCAGCTATGATTTGGGCAAACCTGGCTACAAACACCCTGGCTGAATCTTCTTTCATTTATTTAATTTAAGCACTTTTAAATACAAACTTATCTACCTTTTTTTGGGCGAGGGGAATCCTAAGCAAAACCGCTGAGAAGCAAACGCGCTCAGGGCGCAGGTACTGCACTCGAGCTCGGGCACACAGGTTTCCAACCCTCCGCTGGCGCTTATCTTGGGTCTGAAAATGAAACCAATGTTGATGCCCTGCAAAACTGTTGCAGCATAACGTTTGAAAAATTGCAAGGTCTGCCCTAATAGCCAAACAGTTGTGAAGCGACGCGGCAGACCAGTTACTGACTCAATGTTGCTTCTGTTTACTTTAACGCTGGGATAACCGCAAACCAAAAATTCAAGGGTATTTTGAAAAAACGGTATGCACTTTTTGTAAAATCCATGCAACAGCTTCTGACACGAGCCTTGGGTTTGATGTTATAGTTATACAGAGTTCCTGGGGACAAAAACCCAATCATGTTATGATGTATTCGGACACAGGAAGGTCAATGTAATTATATAGTGCCAACAGTGGCCATTTCAGTATTGTGGAACGTGTTTTTTCTCCCGGATTAAAAAACAAGGTTTTACTTGGATGTTGAAGATGCAGGGTCTGTTGACATTGCTGGGGAAGTTGTATCTTGGACGTTCCGCTTGTTGTAGCGCTGACATGCGCTGACCTATGATGAATGCGGTCCTAAGACACCAGGAATGTCGATTGTCTTGCAACATGTTAATTCAAACAGTTTTAATAATGGAATTTACCACCCCCTGCCCCATCTATCTGCGCAACCGGACGCATACATTGGCCGCGCTGTGGTGAAACGTTGCCAGGACGCAAACCAAAAATATGGGAGGTAACATCAACCATGTTTCACCAACGCCACAAGGTAAACCACACACTTGACACCTTCAAACCCGTCCCCAAACTAATTTAACGGAATTTCCCATCCGACCTGCATCTTGTATGTATTAGCTATCATCAATATTGCGGGTAGTCCAACCATCCTTGACTTCCTTGCTTTGTTCTCCTCCAGTCTAGACCGGCATTTGATGCTGCTTGCAGCTTGCATGCCTCTAGTTCATATTTCCCCCTGCGATGGCTAGAAAAAAATGCAAAACTAGACCAAAAAGTAGTCAAACCATTGAACGAATAGTTAAACAGTTAAACAACACAAGCAACAAATGAAACGCATGGCCATGCATTGATATTGCGCGCCGCAAGCTGGACAACTCTTTGAAAACCACACTGCTAGGCGTGCAATCAAAAATGACCTTCCGATTCTGATTTGTTTTTGCGCGTGTGTATATTGTGGGCTGGGGTCGCTTGAGCGATTCCTCAAACATACACGATATCAAGACCTGGGCTACCCATTTTTTCCCCTGATTCACGGCAAATGATTTTTGCCCGCAATTGTCCATGCATACATGTGAATGACTTGTGGATACGTAGCCTAGTGGCCTAGTGGTACTACTTCAAAACAAAAAAACTACATTGTCGTTTCTGTAGTACGCACCGGTTTGATTTAAGCCACAACGGTTTGTGCAACCATTAAAAAAATGGAAATGTTTGGAATTCATCCTCTGCTTCAATAGCGCGTCAGCCAAAAGTGGAGGATGTTCGTTATACACGATTTGTAAGGCTTGGTCCACCTGTTTTCTTCTAGGCAAAATCGCGGGGTTTGATCAGTTGCATGTGATGGGTTCGTTTACGGTGGGTGTTTCTGAGCTGCCCCCCCAAAAAGGGGTCCGACGTGCCCGTGTGCTGCGCATGTATGGGACCTGTTTCATACGAATGTGTACACCAGCATTTACAATATCATATAGATTATGAATTCTACTAAATATATAATATGTGTATATATACACATATAGACTGTTAACATACCATTTTAAATTGAAGTGTATGATATGATTTCTTTTCATTACGCATATGCCATCATTCAACAAAGCCGCGTTCAATGGCGGGTTACAATTTTTTGGGATTCAAACACAACTCGCTGTTTCTCAGCGCAACTGCGGCCAAAGCAGCGACATTGTGTTAAAAAACAGCTGTTGCGCAGACATTTCTCACTGCACTTGATGTTAGCACATGCTCTACAGTGCTTAGCGAAGACACGGGTGCATCCAAAAAATGGATGTCGGGGATCCATTTTTGGATGTTCTCGGTTGCGATCCAAAAATTGGATGTTTTGAGGGTCTGGGTTGTCCCTACCTTTGAAGATCGCGAGGTCGACATGCAGTGCCTGAGAACCATCAATCTTCCTCAGGAGATGATCACGTAGTGTATTGTCAGATGGAATGTCCTCAACCTTCATATTTGCAATGATTTCAATCCATGCGTTGAGGAACTTGTCCATCTCTTTGTCACCACGATACTGTAGTTTGTAGATGTGGCTGGCATTCAACAACACTTCATCTTTAGATGTCGTTCTGAAATGATCAAGTATCATTGCTAATATCTCTCTACCCATCAGGAAATTCCCTTCTTTGCCAAGTACTTGACTCCTCTGTCTGATCCGAACCTTGACCTCGAATGCTGTTTCACCAGCAGCATCCACCATGTTCTGCAAGGCAATGGACAGCTTGGAGTCGATGGACTGGAAACGGAATTCACCTGAGTCAGCGAGTTCAGCATAGTCAGGGTTAGGTAGTTGAGCAGGAGTCAACCATCTTCTCCATGCGTCAGTGTCAGGATCTCCCGATGCAACGCACACAGCTTGTACGACGTTTGAACGCCACACATCAAGATCTTGACATTTGGGCCATGGCTTGACAATGACCTTCTCGTGCTCCTTCCTCGAGATTCGAGTAACCCAATCCTTACCATCTTGGCCAAGGTCACTGTTGGCAACACTAGCATCTTTGCCGTCTTTTCGATCCCAAAGCCCAGGAGGATTGTCAGGAACAGGATCATATTCAGGAGCATTGCTTCCCTTTAACGTCTCTTGTCCTTCCTCCACCTGTTCTAACCAACTCTGGTACTCTTTCATTTCATCATAGTTCTGTTGTGCTCGCTCCTCAGATAGGCGAAGCTTCTCACGAAGATCATCCATCTCATTGTTGATCTTGTTGTCGGTGGCGTTATTTGCGCCAGGGGGACTTGGTAATGCAAGTCCATGATTCTTTGTGGATGATGAAGCTTTGGGAGTTCCTCTCGGTGTTGCAATCGATACCGCAAAAGAGGGCGTCTTGGCTGTGGATGTCGTTGCTCTCGGAGCCAAACTTGTAGGAGGTAAAGCTGATGGTGATGCAGGTACAGCAGCTGCAGGAGCCGGTGCATTCCATGAAGCCGGCATCGACTTCATAGCCCACTTTGCATCATGGAGTGACAACTTCAGGGAGTCATTCTTCCTGATCGTTGCATCACGTTCGGCACAAGCTGTCTTGTATAGTTTCTTCCATCTATCTGCTTCTGCTTCCTCTGCGTTGACGAGTGCCTCAGTCAAGTTAGGGTTGCACTCTATCCCTTCTTGGAGTCGATTGATCTCTTGGTTTGCTTTGTGAAGTTCATCATGCAACTCCTCGATCACCTTGATACTGGTCTCGTCACCGCCAATACCGAGTCGAGATCCAAGAAGTTCGGTGATTCGGGTCCTCAGTTGATTGTTGGACTCTATCAACTTCATGTTCTCACCCATGAGCTCATCCTTGACAGCCTCAACGCTGACTTCCCTATCCTTGAACGCTTGAAGTTCAGTGTATCTGAATCTTCGGTACTCATTCTTCTCCTCTATGAATCTTTCCTCATGCCATTCCTTCGAAGCAATCTCATTCTCATTCAACTTCATGAGGTGTCTGATCTCCACTTGTAGTTCATTGTGCTTCCAAAGGTACTCATCATCCTTCTTCTGAGCCATGTTCGCCATATCACGAACTTTCGCAAAATGATCACGTGTTGCACTGTCCTTGGCGGCAATGATGTCATCCTTTCTTTTCAAACTTGCCGTCAACTCATTGATAGCTGATTGCATCTCCGCCAATTGCTCATCTCGTAGCGCAACAGCTCGTTGACCATGTTCCATGACCATCTCATTGCTGACAACCATCATCTGTGAACTCTCTGTCAATCTCTGTCTCAAGAGTTCCATCTCCTCTTTGTTTGCCATCTCCTTCTCATTGACATACTGTGCGCATGCTTCACGTAGTCGTAGCCCATCTTGGCGATAGTGATTCGCCATGGCTTCAGACATTTCTTGTTGTTCTCGGATAAGCTGTGATGCATTCTCCAATTCAGAGTGGTACCTTCCCCTCATAGCCATACTTTCCTGAACGATGTGGGCCGCACCTGCTTCAGCAAGTTGACCACGTTTCCCAAGCTCGTAGATCCTCTGGGTTGAACCTTCGTCCATGAGGTGTGCCACAGCCAGAGCATTGGATTGTTCGTCCAGTAAGTTGTATGCATTAATGAGGGATCTTCTCATAAACTCCATCTCTGAGTTGACATGTTCCTGATATTCTTCATGATGTTGATGTGAATAGACCTCTACATTGTTGACCATTTGATCACGATGTGCAAGAACATCTTGATACAAAGCCAATCTATTTTCCAATTCAGTCCTAGCTTGTTCACTTCTTTCCAGCTTTTCGATGTTGTGTTGAAGCTGACGTCGCAATCGTGCCTCGCTCTCGTTCCTTGCAGCACTAGTCGACGATTTGCGTTTGGATGAGGTAGCAGGTCTGCCCACCTCATCCTCCCGCGTGGCCGTGCCCGACGGGCTCCGGCCACCAGCGTCGCCACTTTCCATAGTGCGGGTTCTCGTAGTGCGAGGGGATCTTGCCGACGTCGATCTGTTGGCACTTCCCCGGAGGGAACCAGCTTGATTGACCACCGTGAAGCTATGTGAAGACGCTCCACTTCCAGGTCCTCGGTACGAGACCGTACCGCCGCCTCCGCTCTCTGCAGATCCAGGCGTGTCACTGATCGCCTGAGCAGGAGCTGCGTTCGCCGCAAAGGTGAAGCTCGTGTCGTTGCTGCTCGACTGGTTCTTCTGCGACATCTCTTTGCTATCAGTCCACCTCCGTTTAGTGCAGGTCTATGACTAGTAGAAGGGCAGGAGGACCGGGATGCCGAAGAGAATGAAGTACCGCTTGGGACCACCGTATGCCCAGAGTGAGCGTACGGCTGATAACCTGTGAATGGTTTACCGTACCACCCTTCAACTTGTAATTGGTCTTGTCGGGGCTCTATGCGTTCCCAAAGTCCTTAATGAAGCCGCGGCAAGCAACGCTTCTTTTCCATGCAGCGATGGAGCGGTCGTCCCTTAAGCCAGCTTATAAGGGCCGGCTTGAGCCAGCGTAGCAGTTTATGATCGCTGGCATGAATTAATGCATTGCGCGTGGGTGTTGAACCTGTATGCCTGTCGCCTACATCTGATTCACAGTATTCAGTATTCAATGGTAGTCATCAACAATGACAACTTTCACATGTTTCTTGCAAATGGCTATGGATCAATACCGACACATGAGTGCCATTTGTAGGGGGCTGAATGTCCATAAAACCCATCTATTTTGATGTGATACAGAAGGCAAAGGCCCAGGGTTTTGACATGTTTTGACCCCCAACTGCTTGTGATCTCCTGATGGTTACTCCAAAACATGGATGGTCCACTAAAGCTGTTGGGGGTAGTATAGTCATCCAGTATGGGTATGCACATAAATATGTACACATGTGGATAAAAAATATAGTGTGTATATATATATGTATATTTAAATTATAATTATGTATAAATATGAATATGTATACTCAAATTATGTATAATTATTAATGTGTAACTCTGTATAACCATGTATAATTGTGTAGATATGTATATGAATATGTATACACCATCAGCTGATCACCTGCAGGCCACTGTATTGCTTGTTGGTAGCCACCACGAAGTCATCCGGCTTCTCACCTGAACTCATTTTTTCGCTCTTTAAGACAAGGTAAAACTCGCCATGATTTCCTTTTTTTAAGTGTCTATGTTTTTTTGGAATGATAAAGAGAACCAGCGAGTTCCCAGACTGTTTTTTTCTATGAGGATCAGTTTTTTCAAGGGGAAGCAAGATCTTCCGAAGGATGGCAAGTCAAGATCACAAAATGATGCCCCGTAGACCGCTAAGTTGGATCAATAGCTAATATAAGTAGGATTTATGGTGTACATATATGTGTATATATATATGTATATTATATATATATATGCGCATAAATATATATATATATATACATAGTAAATATACACATAGTAAATGGGGGTTATAAACCAACTTATAACATGGCCACCATCTCTTGGTTCTTGGGAAAACGGCACCTGATGCGGATCAGAGCTCACCTTTCATCATCTTCATTTTGGTGGGTCTGAACATGGGGTATACCGGGAAAAACCCATAGAATGGCCCTTTAATGGGAAATATGATGACCAACCAGTGGATTTTGGATGATTTTGGGGCGTTCAAAGCCACTTCTGTACTTCAACAGGACTCAGGATGGCCTTTCGAATCCTTGTGTTGTTCACAAGCCTTGCCAAGTTACATTGCAACATCATCCACATCATTCGCACGTAGTCCTTGGCATGTCCCCAGTCGCGCTTGGAATCCAAATTGCCTTTGCAGCTGGGCGAAAGGCAGTTGGGATTGATCATGTTACACATTGGGGTTAAACATGGTTAAAATGCAAAATATGTGAAACCACCAAGCAGTTGATTTTGCTGGGATGGGAACATCACTGCATCAATCTGATGGCTATCTTGATGTGACAACAAGTCTGATCCTTCAACCACTTTCTACAGATTTGATAAATCACAAGTTCTACTCCATTATATTCATCCTATAGGCGTTCAACTTTCCATGCCTAGATTGTCAATCATTAGTTCATTGGAGCTACTTCGGACAAAATCTGTCACATCCCCTGTTCAGATCTAGAAAACCTGGTGGTGGGTTCGACCATCGGATATTCTCCAGCAAACTTACTTGGGATATGTTATGATATGTCACAAGTAATCATGGAGATTTCAAGACGCTTCCATCATTTTCTCGGTTGAGTCACCCATTCCCAACATTGCTCGATGGGGTTGCAATCATCACAAGTGGAGCAGGCTGTTGGACATGCTTTACACATGTTCCTTTTGAACGGCTAGTGTTTGACACATTGTTTCTACCAAAAAAAGTAATGCCAATCCAATCAGAACCATGAAATGTTTTGCTATGGACATCATGATTGAAGCATGAGTGGAGAGGAACTATTCTTGTCGTGGGTATATCATCGCAATATCGACATATGACATATGTATAAAATCCAAGGGAGCAGGGAGGGAAAATCTTGGTGAATTGCTCATAGGGGATGGACATCAATCCTTTAAGAGGAATAGACCCATGATTTCAGGATTCCCATGGGATTGATGACCAGACCACATTCATCCCATTTTTTGATGGCACATATGGGGATGTCTCAAAATGCTCAAACTGACCTCCCCAACTATCCAATTCTTCCAGGACAGAATCTTCGCCCAGACATGAGACCATTCCCTCCAGAACAACCCAGCACACGACAACTCAAATGCGTCAAAACAAATCACCCTTCACATCCCCGGATTTTATATAAGTTAGTGAATCATTAAGATGAACATCTCCAGATTTGAAGTAATTTCGAGAATTTCCCACCCCATCCAACTCCCACCCCATTTATCGACCGTAAACTAACATAGCTATGGAAGATCCACCAGTATTAGATTTCCATAACTTTTTGTATGCTTACAGGGTAAATACCCCATTTTCATGTTTACGCAATCGGTTGTTGTTGTTGTTGTTGTTGTTGTTGTTGTTGTTGTTGTTGCTGTTGCAATCTTAACGTGACGAACAAAACTCACGAAAGATTTGCCGCAGTTTTTTCTGTGCAAGGCGCTTGCAAAGCGAGGCTACACCTAGAGTCGCAAGTTCTAGGGCACAGGAAAACGATGTCCTCTGTGTTTTGAGCCTGGTTTAGTTGCCGTCTTTGAATTTTGAGCAACTTATATAACCATGTTTCAACGCCATGGCCGGCACAGAATCAACCCAACGCAGATTACTGCATCCCCAACAACCTTTGGAAACACCTCCGCATGAAGAGCGTCGCCGCTCACGTTCCCGTGAGCCTGGAATTGCTTCTGTTCAAGACCAAGCGGGCCCAAGTGTATCACAGAGACAGGAAGTGGAGCGGAAAATTCAGGAAATCAAAAGTTTGGTGGATGCTGAACTGAAAAATTCTATTTCCGCGGATGCTTTGAAAACTATTAAAAAACACTCTCTGGATTTGGCTAGCAAAATCGAACAGTTGCAGAAAACCAATGCTCGAATTGTTAAAAACAATGAGGATATTGAGAAGCTTCTGCAGGGGAGAATTCCCAACACTTGCAAGCCGTGCAGTGTGCCCTTCGAGACTACGTTGTGGGATTCCATTTCACCTTGTGAAACCTTGAGAACATTTAGCGTGGTATTTCCTGAGGGCATCTCACTGCGAGAATCCCGGGAAAGATTGCACAGAGCAGTATGACCAACTTGTGGCACAAAAGCAGAGAGAAGATCTGCGACTAGCCACTAAAAAAAGTGTTTTTGTGCAGAAATGTTTGGAAACACGCGCTACTCAAAATACCCTTTGGAAAGACCTCGTCCTGGATTTGGAAGAAGACGTGAGCATGAAGGGCATGAGTGTTGAACATTTATCTGCAAAAGCCACTGTGATATACACTCGCACAGTAGACCGGGCTGCTTCCTTCTTGAAGACAAAGAAAGAACTTGAGGCAAAATCACAACTCCAGAAAGATAGGCTATTGACTATTGACCGCTCTGTCTCAAAAGGCTCCGGTGGACTTTCTCAATGAAGCGATCGACAAAAGGATTGTTTTGGCACAACAACAGCCGAAAACAAAACAGCGGAAGCCTCTTCCTTCTTCTGTGAATGCAGCAGCGGCATTTGTTTCCACCACTTCTAACACTTCGATGAACAAGGATGATTTTGCGCCCTTTGTTTCTGAACCTTTGACTGCAAAAGGCACTGGTAAATTTGCACGACCAGGGCCAGTACAAAACAAAGGGATGGGCAAGGGTGTTTCATCTGCGAAAGGAAACCAGAAGAGCAAAGGCAAAGGCAAGTCGATCAACATCGAAAGTGACAACTGGCGTTTGAATTCTTGGCGAGATTCATCCTGGAACAACCCTTCAGCTCAACAGCATGGGACTGCTAAGGGTGGAAAGTCCAAGCAAGAGTCAGTTTTTCACTTCGGTCGGAAAGGAAAAGGCAAAGGAGGAAAGACTGGAAACACCAGCAAAGGCAAAAGCAAAGGCAAGACCAAGGGGTTCTCAAAGGGACCCCAGAAGTGACACTGCAACATTTCCTGCGTTTGATCAGGGGTCATCTCTGAATTTTGCTGCCTACTACAGCGCCGTGTTGGCAACGAAGGGGTGTACATGTTTTCTCCTGAGAGCAAGCGAGTTTGGGTGCCACGTCCTGAGGAAATTCCGTGGACAGTTGAATTTGTTTTACGGATGCATGCCAAACATGTTCATATGAGCA